CTTGAACAAAGCTCTTTCAAAATTAAAATTAAAACAAAAATTTTAAAACAAAACTCTGGTAAAACTTAATTTATAACCTAAGTATATCTTTTTTAAAACCTAAACTAAAATCTTAAGAAACAAACCTAAATAAACCTAACCTTAAAAAATTTTTAAAAAATTCGTTTAAAAAATAAGTATTAATGCTTTTTCTAAAAAAAAACCTTTTTGTGAGCTTACCAATTAATGCTAAAGTTTTAGCTTTACAAATTCTCATGAGTAGCTTAGATTAAGAAAGACTTATACATGTTCATAGGTAGAACATCATGAATGAGCATATTCTTTCCCAAGAACATGTGATTAAGAAGCTTAGCCTTCAAACATGTAAGTCTTGAACTGTCTCATGCATAAAGAATTCCTATATAAGACGACTTCTCACATTCTAGCATTTTGGTACGACATAATACTTTACAAAGCTCTTTTCTTCATATGTGCATGAAAGTATTGAGAAATATGTGAATGAAACCTATTTCTGACATATAAGTTCAAACTTAGAATAATAAACTAAACAACACAGCTTAAACATACGAGAGATGAATCAAATGAAAAAAAATTAGTTTAGAAAAGCAAATACAAAACTTGATCATAAAAGAACATTGATTTTAATAATAACCGTCAAATACGAATCAAAATAAATCATGAATTAAATATTAAACCCAAAAAATAAATTTAAAATTCATCAACTTAAATAAGGCAAACACCACAAGGAAGATCAACTGTTAAAACTTAGTTAGAAAACTCAGAAATAAAATGAAAGATCACATAAACCCTAGAATAGCAAAGTATAGAAGCCTATGTTAGTATACTATGTACCCTCAGGTGGGCTATGATATATAAAATAAACAGTCTTATCCCCTTAGATTATATAGGCACCCTAGGATGAAGTAACATAGGGTTACTGACAAAAGCACCTCGAACCACTTAGGGTCTGTTTAGGCTAGCTACAGCTGCTTGAAGAAGCAGTTGTGAAGCTGCTGCAGCAGAAACAACTTTTAAAAAAGCTACGGTAGCTTTTAAAATTTTTTTATTTTCAAAAAGTCAGACTACAACTTTGTAGCAGTCACAACACTTTAAAAACTCAAGTTGAGAAAAACAGCTTTCTACCACAAAAATTTATGAAAAATTATAAGTAAATAATTCCCCTAATAGAACTGTGATGACAGTCTGAAAAACAAAGCAGACATAAAGTTATCCTTAAAAGACCCTTAATATGATGAAATCCTAACTTTGTCATCACTATGAGAATAGTGGAGACCTCTAACTACTTATTGGTTAAAAGTCCACCGAATGCACTTTGAATGATGGGCAGTTGTGAGCATCTTGATCGGGTGCCTTATTGACAAAATTCAAGTTACTCCACCCATTTAGCCTCCTTGATAATTTTAGTTTATTTTAGAGTTAGGGTTTTACCTCCATATGGAATCCCTCTAGCTTATCTAACCTCTTATTCTAGGATCAAATATTAAATTCAACCTCCAATCTTAAACGCTAAAGCCCAAAACTTCCAATTTCAAATGCCAAATATGAACATCAAATCCATAATTCTTAATTTCAATCCCAAATTCAATTTATCAAAATTGTTGACTTCAGAACACAGCTTCTAAATCCTTAACTTCAAATAAAACTTTTCAAAACATTACAAATTTAAAACCCACCTCAAGATCTATTAACTCAAATTTAATGAACCCCATCCAAATTTTAACTAATTTAATAACCTTAATGAACTAAAAAAATTTAAACCACTTATCAAATTCTAATAAGCTTTAATAAACTCTAAAAAAATTTAACAAATTCTAACAAACTCTAACAAACTTTAATAAACTTTGATGAATTTTAACATATTTTATCTATTTTCACAAACTTTAATAAACCATAACCAATTTTAACAAACTTTAGCTTATTTTTTCTAACTTCAATAAACTTTAACAAATTATAGTAAAATTTAAAAAAAATTAATAAACTTTAACAAATCTTAATATAATTTAACTAAGTTTAATCAATACTTTAATTAACTTTATGGAAACAAAATTTCTTTGAAACAAGTAAAAAAAGCTTCAAAACAAAATTTAAACAAACTCAAATGAACCTCAAAAACCCCTACATAATTCTAAACTGATCTTAAATGCTTTATTTAAGTAACTTCAAATAATTTTAAAGCTCAAATAAATTTCAATCAAACGTTCAAATGAACTTTAAACAATTTTCAAGAAAATATTAAACAAAATTTAATCATCTTTTAAAACTTAAAAAAAACTCTAATCAATCCAATAAAATCAACTTAAAAAAGAAACATTCAAATGAAAATAAATTCAATCAACTCATGTGAATCTATCTAAATCAAATTCACAATTTTAGCCCACAGAACAAGTCTCCTTCCCAGAATTAGCTAACCTATTTTATGGGCATTTCTATAAAACATTATCATTGGGCCGTAAGTTCCAATTCTTTATTTTCACTTAAATCCTATCAAAAGTATGAGTCCATCAATCTGAGTTCTTAAACATTAATCTCAAATATGTTTATCGAATAATCATACACAATGTAAGCCAATCCTTTAACTGAGATTACTTTTAGGGGTTACAATTATTAAGATATAATTAACTGTGAGGGCTTCCCTTGGATGGATACCAATCCCTAGATTAAAATAAACCCTATCTTACCTTAGATTAATATTTTTATCTCTCAGGATGGTATACTATTCATCAAATGACACATTTGATCATTTAGATAAAAATCTTGTGATGTCTATGATGGATATTAAACCATATTATTCATCAAATAACACATTTGATCATTTAGATAAAAATCTTGTGATATGTATGCTGGATATTAAACCCTATAATAATAAAGAAAATATCCCACTAGTGGTTAGTAGAAACATAAGCAATGCAAGTAAGTATCATGGGGAGGTGGTGAAGTAGATTCTTAGATATTTGAGGAAAAGAGTCAACATAACACTTTATTATGAAAGTGTGGGGATTAATCAACAAAGATTTATAAATTTAGAATTCACAGAAAATACAGATGACAGAAAATGTACAACTGGGTATATCTTTACTTTGGGTAGCACACAGTGAGTTGGGATTCAAGGCTACAAAAGATTATTAAACTTTCAAATATGGATGTTGAATACATTATTATCATTAAGGCTGCAAGGAGATGATTTGACTACGGAGCTCTATGATAGAATTGGATAAAAAATAGGGGATTAGAAAGCTTCTTAGTGATAGTATGAGTGTAATTCATCTTATTAAGAATGTTGTTTGTCTTGCATGCTGAGGTATCACTTTAAATGCTCCCTCCTAGAAGATGGGTAGTTATTAATGAAGAAGATACACATAGCTCAAAATCTTACTGATATGCGATGAAGGCAATGCCTATCAAGAAAATGGATCTATGCTTGGCCTCAGTTGGAGTCCATGAAAATTGAGGTCGAGGGTGAGCCAAACCATGATACATGACTATGAAGATGGTATAGCTAGAGACATAGATAAGGAGATAGTGTTGGGTGTTATTAGTCTTCAAGTGAAAAATTGTTGAGTTTGTGGAGCCTAAAGCACACATAACATCCACAAAGAGCATAAAAAAGGGATTTATATATGGACTTGGCATAACCATGCCCGAAATGGCATAACAACGTAGAAAAGAGCGTGACCACAATATCGAGAGTTATTGTCTTCCCGAGCGGGTGAAAAAATTATGCTCATGTGCAGAATTGCTAGACTTTTGGTTTTGGAACAGTTCTTAAATTTGCAATTTCAAGTGATGAAGGTGAGTCTCTTGCGTGTGATTCTTTTAACAAGGGTTATCGTGAAGAAGAGATGTGTTAGAGAGAAGGATTTCAATTTTTTTTTCTCTTTAAAGACGAGAGAAAGGATTTTGAGTGAGATCTTGTAAGTCCCAGCTATTGTAGAGATGAGATATGGGTGTACTTTTTTGAGTTTCATAGCTGAAATGTTTTAGTGGTTTGGCTCCATGATTTTTTTTCCTATTTTTGTGTTTTTCCAAGTTAAATCCTTATGCGCTTTTCTGGATTACTTTTGTTGAGCTTCCATTCAAATATTTTTTTTCTATTTTTCCCGAATTAGTGCATCGTATTCCATGGCGTGGTTTTGATTTTGAGTTGATCGAAGCCCTGGTTGAAGTATATAAGATTTCAATCCGAATAATATTTATAGGTCTTTTCTAAGACTAAAATAAATTTGGAAAGCATCAAGAACTACTAAACTAAAATAATATTGATTGATGATTAGCCAATGAAAGGAAAAGAAAATATGCAAAATATTAAAAAACCTAAGGCTTTTAAGAACATGAAAATTCAACCAAGCTAAATAAGGTTGGTGGAGTATTCTTAAAATTAGGTAATCTTCCTTGATCATTACTTATCGTATTAGTTTGATTGATAACCCATTACGAAACCTTAAAATATGCTTTTTAATTATTGATTAATAATTATATAAGATTCAATGTTTGTCCATAGACTTTTTGGATTATGCATGATAAAAGACCGACATTTTAGTACAATGAGTTAGTTTGTAACATACATCAACATTTAAAATTTATCTTATTTGTAAGTTTATTACTTCATTATTAACTTTGTTGCTTTAATTTTTTCAAGTAGAATAAATTTTTTTTTACAAAAGTGGCTGCAAAGCTAAAAAACGAATGTGGGCAACATCTGCTACAATTATGTTTTTTGAAAATTTAAAGGTCGCCTTATATAGATTGATGAATTGATAAATAGTATACATATTATATGTTATTTATTATCATTTTAAAAGTAATTTGACATTCAAATAAACTAATCTTTTAAATAATTTTTAATATTATTTACATTACCCACCAACCATACCACTATCTCATACATCATCAAAATTGAACTTTTAATTAGATTCCAATTATTATTTTTTTTTACTTAAATGTTTTGTAAACAAGGTTCAACGTTGCCTAAAAACATTCGTATGTTATGGCGCTGATTTGTTGCGTCTGCGGTGATCCCACTTGATCCCATCTCCTCTCTCTTTTACCATCCCCGCTGGGTTCTTCCTAGTGCCGACAATCTAAAAGCAAAAAAGCTAAATTGATCTACAGAATGATTCCACTTCTTTAGCTTGGTGGCCACTTACAAGCCTACCTCCCCTTTAAACCGTTCCATTTTCTGTGGAAGCTGAAGTAAATGCTGAACTTGGAGGTAGTGATAGTGAGCGGTAGCTTAAAAGCTCTGCAATCCAAGTTCGTTCTTTTTGTTTCTTGACGCAGAAAGAGGTAACTCTTTTTTTTTTTATTTTTCTGTTTCCTCGCCCGCACTCGTCTTTCAGTCTCTTGAAGAAGAGGAGGCTTATTGGATTCTTGATTGTGGAAATCCATATTATGGCCGCAATTACTAGTGCGCTCTGATAGGCTATATGTATGGCCAGAGGTAAATGTTGGCTATTAGCTGAGATTTGGAGAGAAGCTGGTGGTTTTGCCCTTTTTCTGCTGAATTTGCAGACCGTTGGATTTGGGGTTTATTTTCGAGGAAGACGTATAACACATGATCTGGTAGTCGGAATTCTTGCTAACTACGTATAATTGCTTTTGCGGCGAGCTTAGCTCTCTGGTCAAAGAAAAATGGGTATTCTTTCCTTTCTTGGTTCTGTTTAGCTTTGATAATTGCTGAGCTCACTTTTGGATTCTTGCCATTCACAGATTAATAGTTTTGATATCTGGCCATCTCAAACATAAGTGCTAAGTTTGTGATTTGGATGCGAGAAGTCGCTTGATCGATTGAGAAAATTCACGGGAAAATCTTGAAAACTATAGGATGGAGAAGCAGCCTAGCTTGCGGCTAGGTCCTCTAGAGAGGTTGCAGAGCTTTAAGTTTGGTGGCATGGAAAAGCAACGGAGCTTTAAGTTTGGGTCAATGGAAAAGCAGAAGAGCTTTATTGAAAGGAGGATCAAGGATAGCCCAGGTAAACGAGGGGATACGACGCTTCATCTAGCTGCAAGGGCTGGCAATCCAGTTCATGTTCAACGAATTATTTCGGAATGCAGTGGTATTCAATTGCAAGATTTGATTTCAAAGCAGAATCAGGATGGGGAGACGGCACTATATGTTGCCTCCGAGAAAGGGCATGCTGAGGTGGTGAGAGAGATTTTGAAGGCATCTGATGTCCAGTCTGCTGCCATTAAGGCCAGCAACAGCTTCGATGCTTTTCATGTTGCTGCTAAGCAAGGCCATCTCGGTACGATTTTTGATCCGTTATCTTGGTTTATAAAAATACGGCAAGTTATCGTCTTCTACTTCTCGCACTTCTCTTTTTCTCTGAATCAAAGTGGTAGACGATGTTCGTTCAGTTGGTTACTTATATTATATTTACATGTAGACCTTGACAATAAAGTAACCCAGAAGGAAATGAAAATAAAGCCGCTTATGGTTGACTGTGTACAAAAGTTTTAGTGCTCCTCAAATTCAACATATTTTTTTTTGGTCTGCACAGCAAGTAGTTAATCATATTATGCTTGATTCTCCTCAACATAATGGTGCTTGCCGGTCGGAATTACAAATTTTTTGTTTAGGACCATCCGATTTTCTGGTTTTTTCTTTTTCTATTTTGGAAAGCGTCTTAAGGTCCATTAATGTCATCTCAATCACGTCCACTTAATGTGGAACACTGTTCAAGTGTTTTTTCTCAACCAAAATGTATGGAATTTAAGTACTGAAATTTAAGTTTTATCGAACTTATGCTCTAAGCTTGGTAAATTGGACTTGATTACAAAATGTATAATTTATCTACCATGCCATAGATTTAATTTTATTTCTTATATCATGTGATTATTAGTTTGCCTCTTTTGTGAGGCAAGGTTTGGGGGTGTAAAGGATTAAAATATTCCCTATTTAATATTTGAGTGAGGTTGTGTACCCCTACCTATTTTTCAAACTCTGCTCGTGGGTTTGATTGGACTAGCGCGTTACTTTCATTCACATAATATTTTAGATAGCAAGGCTGCATTCATCAAACGATCCCACACCCTTACCATCCAATCCATTTCAACCTTTTTTTTCCCCTTAATTTAAATATTCCCTATTTAATATTTGAGTGAGGTTGTGTATCCCTACCTATTTTTCAAACTCTGCTCGTGAGTTTGATTGGACTAGCGCCTTACTTTCATTCACATAATATTTTAGATAGTAAGGCTGCATTCATCAAACGATCCCACACCCTTGGCATCCAATCCATTTCAACCTTTTTTTTTCCCTTAATTTCTCTTTGTTTCTACATTAAATCTATAAACTAAATCCTAGGCTTTGTGCATGCTGATTGGAAGATTTTTCTTCATTGGAGATCTTTCTCATCTCTGTTATCTTGTTATGCATTAACATTTTTCTAGTTATGGTGTTGATAAGATGTTGGCAGCTAGCGGTAGAAATTAGTCACCCCTTTACTGTAGAGCATACTCTCTTCCGCTTAACTACTCTAGAATTGCTGCACATAGTGTTTTTTAGTTTTGTTGTAATAGAAAATAGACATTAAATAGACATTCATACATAAAACTATATGGTGATAGCATCACACATATGCCAGTCCTACAGTTGATCATGGTTCAACTATGCTTTATTTAAGAGTTTTGTGTGGCATGATGCAAAGTCTGAAGCTTCTTTTATGGAGCATCTTCCTTTTTATATTATTGTAACCAAGCTCAGAGTGATAGATCATGGGATTGGTCAAATATTTTAACATAGCTCACTGAGAATTTTTTAATCCTTTATTTTTATTTTTTATTTTTTTATTTTATTTTATATGAACTAGCCATGCAATTTTTTTTCCTTTAGAATCATTCTAGTGCTTTAGTTGATTATTGTGATCTTGGTAAGTTGTGTGATGTAGCACGTATATGAAAGGTCCCAAAAAGAATGACAGAGGGGTAAAAAGGTGAACAAATGGATAAAATTAACTCAAGCTTTGCACTTCACTTTTTTTTGGAATTCTACCACGGTAAAACTTGATCAACCAACTTGTTTTCATAATGTATAAAGAAGTTTCTTCAAATCTAGATATAAATATTATTTATGGCAAGCTACCCTGTATTATGTTGTCCGACCCGCAATTACGCAGTTATTTAGTTTCCAAAAGATGACAAAAATTTGACCTAATTTATTTTAGCGACTAGTGTGCACGATAGATATGTTATAGGATTTAGAATTTAATTAATAGTTTGCACACTAGGAAGTACTATGCAAGCATACGTATTGTTTCATGTAATATAGAATTTTCTTTTAAAACCCCATTATCAATCGCATATGGAAGGTGAAACTCTTTTTATCCAAAACTCTTTTTATGACTTAAGAAAACTTAATCTCCGAACAATTATCTAGGAAATATGGTAACAAGTTTAGGTTTAAAACAAAGTTACTAAATTCCTACCAATTTTATTTCAAAGCTAAAAGAAAATGCAGAGTTTCAAAACTAGTTTTTTGAAAAAAAGTTCAAATTATGTAAAAGTTTTTCCACTTGCAAAGAGATAATAATCAGTGTAGAAATTAAATGTTTAAAGGTTAAAATGTTGTTTTGTGTCAAATAAGAGCATATACATTCCTTACCATATTTTGAATGCATAAATAACATTGATTAATCTAAAGTTAAATTCCTAAATCTCAAGTTTTGTTGGATAGGTTTTAGTCTCTCATTTTTAGATTACCCACTGTACCTCTTAAGTCATTATGGATTCACAATATGTTTTAACATTTCAATTGACCAGATTGAAGATGTAAATAAAAAATGAAGTAATGAATCATCACAAGTGAAATAAGAGAAATTTTAAATAATTTTAATCTTACACATGATTACTTCTTATTGCAATGAGAAATATAAAGGAAACCACTTAGACTTCAGGGGGATAACACAACAAAACATGCCTTATATTAAAATCCAAGTTTACATAGTAAAATAAAACTTAAACAAAAATACAATGTACTTATCTGATACTTCTCCCCTAGATAATCCTTTGAAGTTCATTTGATGAGTTCTTACTCTCCTTAGACACACAAAGAGACTCTCACTCACAACTCACAACACACACAAGAAAGCTTCACACCCCTCCTAAAACTCTTCACCACCAACCAAGCCTTCCAAAAGCTCCTTTCAACCAGCTAATCTTTTCTTTAAATAAAGCTCTTAAAATCACCGAGAGTCACTTTAAAAACCCCTTCAAAATTCGTCCTAGTTCATTGCACAAAAGTCCAAACTGTTTCTGGCGCCTAGGCGCCAACCTTCTAGAAACCCATTTTAACTACCTGGCGCGAGGTCACTTTTTGCTCTTTTGCTCTTTTTGACCCTATTTTTTTTCATTTTTGCTTCTTTTGCTCTTAAACTCATTCTCTTGTACTTGAAATAAAAAAAAACACTTAAAATATCTTCCATTAAAACGCAATATCCTTTAAAATGAGCATAAAATGTATATATAAAAACTGCATATTTTAAGACGTGTTAATTCCTCCAAACATAAACGTTACTTATCCTCAAGTAACTTATGTAATTTGTAAAATAAATGCTTTAACTTATGCTAGTGAGTTTTATTAAAGATTATTATACTTTTGCCCCATGAATGTGATACGAAAACTTTAGAAAAATTTTCAATAACTCATGATAGAACTAATGTGTAAGAGTATCTAGTATTGGTATGGTAGTGAAATGGTGCTTGCCGGTCGGAATTAAAAATTTTTCATTTAGGACCATTCGATTTTCTGGTTTTTTTCTTTTCTATTTTGGGATGCGTCTTAAGGTCCATTAATGCCATCTCAATCATGTCCACTTCATGTGGAACACTGTTCAAGTGTCTTTTTTCAACCAAAATGTATGGAATTTAAGTACTGAAATTTGAGTTTTATCGAACTTATGCTCTAAGCTTGGTAAATTGGACTTGATTACAAAATGTATAATTTATCTACCATGCCATAGATTTAATATTTATTTTTTATATCATGTGATTATTAGTTTGCCTCTATTGTCAGGCAAGGTTTGGGGGGTTCAAAGAATGAAAATACTCCCTATTTAATATTTGAGTGAGTTTGTGTACCTCTACCCATTTTTCAGACTCTGCTTGGGAGTTTGATTGGACTAGCGCCTTACTTTCATTTACATAATATTTTAGATAGTAAGGCTGCATTTATCAAACGATCTCACACTCTTGGCATTCAATCCATTTCAACTTTTTTTTTCCTTAATTTCTCTTAGTTTCTATCTTAAATCTATAAACTAATACCTAGGTTTTGTGCATGCTGATTGGAAGATTTGTCTTCATTGGAGATCTTTCTCATCTCTGTTATCTTGTTATGCATTTTTCTAGTTATGGTCTTAATAAGATGTTGGCAGCTAGCTGTAGAAATTAGTCACCCCTTTACTGTAGAGCACACTCTCTTCCGCTTAACTACTCTAGAATTGCTGCACATAGTGTTTTTTAGTTTTGTTGTAATAGAAAATAGACATTAAATAGACATTCATACATAAAACTATATGGTGATAGCATCACACATATGCCAGTCCTACAGTTGATCATGGTTCAACTATGCTTTATTTAAGAGTTTTGTGTGGCATGATGCAAAGTCTGAAGCTTCTTTTATGGAGTGATAGCATCACACATATGCCAGTCCTACAGTTGATGTTGGTATGCTTTATTTAAGAGTTTTGTGCGGCGTGATGCAAAGCCTGAAGCTTCTTTTATGGGGCATCTTCCTTTTTATATTATTGTAACCAAGCTCAGGGTGATAGATCATAGGATTGGTCAAATATTTTAAACATAAAAAGGCTGATTGCCTACCTTGACATAACCCACTGAGAATTTTTTAACCAAACATAAAAAGGCTGATTGCCTACCTTGACATAACTCACTGAGAATTTCTTAACCCTTTATTTTTATTTATTTATTTATTTTATATGACCTTTATTTTTATTTATTTATTTATTTATTTATTTTATATGAACTAGCCTTGCAATTTTTTCCTTTAGAACCATTCTAGTGCTTTAGTTGATTATTGTGAGCTAGGGAAGTTGTGTGATGTAGCACGTATATGAAAGGTCTCAAAAAGAATGACAGAGGATTAAAATGGTGAAAAAATGGATAAAATTAACTCAAGCTTTGCACTTCACTTTTCTTGGAATTCTACCAGGATAAAACTTGATCAACCAACTTGTTTTCATAATGTCTAAAGAAAGTTCTTCAAATCTTGAAACAAATATTATTTATG